CTGAAACTTTGCAGATTTTTCATAATTTTTGCACAAAGTTTGAATGTGGATTTATATGGTTTTTTTATATAATGAGCCAGACTTTTATGGAAAAATAATAAACATTAAATATAACATTCATAGTGAAATTCGGACCGGAACTTATAGAATTAATTGGCATACCAAACCTACTTAATATTTCAAAAAACTACTGGTTACCGTTGAAATATTACAATAACAGTTCTTAGCTTTTTCTTAGGTTTTAAAAAAATTATACTACGAAATTTGCTTTAAACAATCATATTTCAGTTCACAAATTTTTTGGTTTTTCTTATCCTTAACTGCACTCCATTTTGCATACCTGGAAGTAATGTAGTCGTTATTAACCTGAAAAATGTTATTTTGTGTTTAAGAAAATCGGTTCGGGGAACTTATCAAGTTGGCGAGGAGTTTTCTTCTTCTTTTTCTAACCTTTCTTCAAAATCAAATTATGCTCGCTTCTTGTGATCATCTGGTCACACTGGTGGTAAGTTTATTGCATATTGGAATCGTGGCCCAATATACATACATATGTATGTATCAGGAAAGCCAACTCGTGGGGAATTCCCCGATTTACGGGGAATTTCAGTTTGCGTGGGGAATCAAGGAATGGTCCGCATTTGTGGGGAATTTAAGTTTACCTGGGTAAACGGGGGATGAACTGGAACTAGGGCAAATAGTTTTTATTTTTTTCTTCACAAATTTCATAATGATTTATAGAAATGTTAGTTGAAATGTATCACCCGTCACCGTGGAATGAGCCGTATGCAGTTTTGTAGCTCGTTCAATTCTTGTATAATAAAGTTTCAAATGGTTAAAGATTACCGTTGATTTTTTAGAACTCTCCTTGTAGCATTTGCTTTTATATAATTTTTATATATTTTTTTGAAAGAAAACCGCAACTCCTTCGGCGAAAAAAAATATAATACGACAATTTTTTAGGTAGGTACTTGGAACTGTCACTTTTTATATTAGAATTGAGTGGACTACAAAACTGCACACTCAAAATTTTCCTAAAAAATCTAATTAAGCTCGAAATTTTTACGAAAGTTCGTTGGAATTTTTTAAATATTGCACACAGTTTGAAACTTGGATTTAAACGTTAAAGAATTAATTATATTTTTGCTAGCCGGTCACAGATGCGCGAGGCTTCGCCAAGCACTGAATGTATGCATATGTATGTACATTTACGTTTTTGGAGAAAGAAATCATGTGTCAGCCTATACCTCGTTTATTATATACATTAACAATCTTGTCTGAATCCGTCCAGTAGCGTGTTTAAAAATCTCGCCTTTCCTTTATACTATATATATGGAAGATAGTAATTTTAAATGGGTGGCAACCCTACTCAAAAAACTTGAAAGGTTTTGTTCATGCGAAGGCCATGCACTTTCATTTGGTATCTCATTTTTTCATCCAACGGACAGTGAAGATCTTATAGTTTTTAAAAAGGTGGCAACCCTACTCAGAAAAATAATACATTATTACACATTCAGAGGCTAACAGCCAGTTTCACAAGATTCATTTAAGTTAGATTTTCCAAATTTTGGTTTCACCAATCCAATTTAATTGGTTTTTAATTTTGATTTAAGTGACCTATGCTCTTCATTTAAATAAAAATAAAGGGCCTTATTCTGTATCACGAACGATGGGCAAAACGAACGATTCGTCTTATTCAGACGACAACCTCTCTGATCGCGATTTTAAACTCGATCGGTCGTCTTCGTCTTGCTTTTCATACATTACGTTGCAATGTCTCGGTTGCGTTCAAACCGGCTAAAATGATGCCACCAGACTAATTTTTGAAGCATTCCTCTGCAGACGAATCGTTCGTGTTGCCTATCGATCGTGATACGGAATAAGTCTGAATAACCACACTCAGAGAACACGTTTAATCACCTGATCATTGTGTATCTGCTGCTTACTTGTATACCAGCCCTGCTATTACAACGTGTGTCAAGTTAGCACTACAAGTTAAATACGGCATTAATTGTAGTGTTTTTGTTGAAAATTTGTTGTGGAAAGAAAAATTTTAGCTCTCGTTTTTTAAGAAAAAATGGTATGCAGTGCTAACTTGACACCATACACCTAGTCGATAGAATTGAGATATCCAATATGTTACTATGCCAGTAATTGTAGCTTTTAACTTTAAACTTTGTTGTGGAAAGATACAACAAAAAAGCTACAATTAATGCCGTTGTACCCTTTTCAATATCTCAATTCTGTCGTCAATGATGCATGGTGTAGGGCTGCCAGACGTCCCGGTTTTCCCGGACATGTCCCGGTTTTAGACTATTTGTCCCGGTGTCCCGGTGTCCCGGTCCAACCTTAAAATGTCCCGGGTTTCGTTTTAGTGTCCCGGTTTTTCATTTGATTGCACACATTTGAATAAAAGTTCAAAAATCACTACACTAAGCGAAAAAAAGGCGTTGTAATATTCAGAAAAATGTTATGAACTCACTGAGCGAAATAACGCATAGTAAACATTAATATTTTCTATTTGATTATCGTTTAAAAATGTTCGTATTTAAAAATAATACTTTCATAGCACGCACGCGTGGTGTTGATTCAAATGCAACATTTAAATGCACATTTACATGTCTGGTGTAGCTGCATGCGCGAAGATGCTTGCCACAATTTGCTAATTTCCAGAGGGTCATGGCTCAATTCCCATTACAACCAGCATGGAATTTAAATATTTTTTTAACTTAATTATGAAAAAGCAATCAGTAATTGCAAATCGCTTCATTTTAATATGGGCGTATTTGAAGTGAATATTTTTATACTAAATACTAAAATTTGTATACTTAAATGTATTACGAGTTGGGTTGGCGCTCTTTCATATGCGTATTTTTTTTTTTAATTTAGCACGCTTTTTTAATTCTAAACTTCTTTCTCTCAGTGCACCGGTTTAATTTGTGAAATAGTCACATTTCGAGATAGTCGAACTTTGCACAAGCAATAGTTGATGATTCGTATATGTACCTAAATACGTTCAAAATGACGTGCACAGAGTTTTACAATTATATTAAGGAAAGGACAGAAGTTTTGAAACGAGTTCACAGCAACGAAAAATACCTATGACTGATATTTTTATGTTATCTTGTACTTAAGTTTTTCTTTTTCATGAAACCTAGAGTACAGTGCCGTACAAAATTATTGGCTCGGATGCTCTTTAATCAGATCACAATTTCTAATCAGATCTTTTAGAAAAATTTTGAAAATGTAGCTTTTGGGCCAATTAATAAAGTGCAAGTCTGAAGTTGCCAGCAAATTTCGTTGATTTTTAGCATTTTTTTTGCTATCCTCCATATAAAAAGAATTATCGAATATAGTTTGTATGAAAGAAACTCTCAGTAAAAACAATACCAAAAATCAACTAAAATTTAATGGGCTGCAAAACTTCATTTTAAAAATTTGTATAAAATCTGATTAGAATGTTGCAAATTTGTATGCAAATTTATTGAATTTTGCCGAGTTTAGCACAAAGTTTAAATTTTTTTAAATGTTTTTTTTCATATATTTAGTATAAACTGTATTTTTATAAAGAATAAAAAAAAAGGTTCATGCATTGTGAAAAATTCTCTGTGCTTTAGTTGTGATAAGTTGTTTTGTTTTGTTGGCGTACGGTGTAATGATCTCATGATCTCATGTTTTTATGTTTTTGTTTTTGTCTGTCAAAATAATATTTCACTACACCTTTCGCACGTCGAAATGAAAGAGAAGGGAGCGAGAGGCCCTCCCTAAAGTGTCCCGGTTTGGCAACAGAGATATCTGGCAGCCCTAGCATGATGTCAAGTTAGCACTACGTACTAAATTTTGTTCGAAAAAGGGTGAACTCAATTTTTTCCAGAAAAACGAAAGCTACAAATTTTTTCTTTCCAACACAAATTTTAAAGTTAAAAGCTACAATTAATGGCATAGTAACATATTAGATATCACAATTCTATCGACTATGTGTATGGTGTCAAGTTAGCAGTACATACCATTTTTTCTTAAAAAACGAAAGCTACAATTTTTTTCTTTCCACAACAAATTTACAACTAAAACACAACTACAAGAGAATTCTACATTGTGAGGGTTATAATCCCTAAGTGCGGCCGCAGGCCGCCTACGCAGAAAGGGTTCTCTGCAAAAGGTGTTCAGTGCCTTTTCTTCGCAACACAGAAAGAGAATTCTACGTTGTGAGGGTTATAATCCCTAAGTGCGGCCGAAGTCCGCCTATGCAGAAAGGTGTTCTCTGCAAATGGTGTTTTTTTATAATTATTTTACATTGATTCATTTTTTGTAAGAACTATACACCATATATATAAATTACGTATACCAAATTAAAGGAAATTTCCTATTAAATGAGATCAAAATTTTCAAGATCCATCTATCCGTTTTTAAGAAATCTTGATTTCAAAAATTGCTTATTTTGAACTTTAACCTTTGATAATTTTTGTTGTTGTTGTTTGCCCAAAAAAAGAAGTATACCGTTATACTCAGCTCAATCATCTCTATCGATTCCAATATTTTATTTTTTGTTTGAGATTTGGAGCCCAACTGCATTTGTTCCCAAAAAATAAACATTTTTTTTTTAATAAGGAGATTTCTATGAAGGGGATTTTACTAAATTTTGGGCAAAAACGGGGAATTTCATTGTCGAAATCGGGGAATTTTCAAAAATGAGTTGGCTACCCTCGTATGTAGGTATACAAAATAAACAAATGCCTGCTGAAATTTTTTATTTTTTTGTTTATTTTTGTGTAAGATAAACATGTTGGCATGCTTCTCGATTCAATCAAAAAGCATGGACATACTCAATAGCAGCAACCAACGATATGCAAGCCGCTTCAGCCAAATACTCCTAATGCATATCCTCACAGGCAGTGAATTTATCAAGCATACTGATAGAAATACTATATATAGCTCTACGTGTTTCCAATTTTGTGGAAAATGTATGAAAATGTTTTTAAAGATTATACCGGCTGTATACTCACTCGCCATGTTCTCTGCTATTTAATTCTTGTGTAATGTAGTGCTATTTGGAGGCACTTTTTTCGTTGCCGATGTCGCTGCTTCTGCAATAACACAAACACAAAAACAAAACTCAGCTTATGTTTTTTGGCGATAGATATTCACGTTGAGGATATAGTTAGGTGTTTCGATGTTGAATTGTGAACTGTATCCACTTGTATTTTAGTTGCACTAAAATTTAAAGATCAATTTTCGGTTCTGTTACGATCTGCTCGGATTTTTTGTCTGGTACGTCTGCGACCGATTACTTGGCACTCGGCGTTAAAAAAAAAAACCATAAAATGTGTATAAATCACGAAGATTGCGCGTTCTTTTGGTGAACGTTTCCTTTTTATATTAAAGACACTTCTAGCTTATTTTCACTGGCTTTTTATTAACTTGTTTTATTTTAATTTAATTTAATAAATACATAAATCGTCACGCATATTAAACACTAGCACTTCCTTTCTTCAACACAAACGACAAAACATTGATTTGTCTCGCTCTTTTTGTCTAGTGAAAAATACCTTTCAGCAGTGTTGCTTCTTTAAAAATTTTAGCCTGCCAATCAACAAGAAAATGGCGTATGCAAATATAAGGTTAAGTAAGTTAATTCAAGTGAATTAGTTTATACATTTAAATGTGCACATTTTTTAATTTACTTCAAAAGCGTCAATATTAACAAACCCTTACGCAAAATATTTCAATAAAATAATTTCAAGTGGGAGGATTATTTGAAAGAAGCAACACTAATGCTGTATAGTGCTGCCATATGTTCGAGCACAATTTAAAATGCACAATTAGGGTGGTTCAATTACTAATTACTAAATTGAAAGGGAAAAATGTTGGTTACGAAGCTCATGCCAACATAAACAACTTACAGCTGAGGAGGGTGCTGAAAACCTGAGAAGCTTAGGTCCAATTTGAAATGAGTGTAATTTTGGATTGCTGTTTAAATGCCGTTTAGCTTTCGTTGGATTTCAGATCAGCTTAATGCCAAACAATTGGCAGCACTGCTGCTTGTTCCTAGAAATTGAAATTGGATTTGCTGGTTTATTTACATTTTGTGCTGAACGGCTTCTTGTCTTTTTTGGTGGGACTGATTAAACAACCTACCCATCAATCTTGGTTGTTTGGTACAAATACGGGGATTCATATCTCATATTTAAATAGATCATATTGGCATTTTAAGTGAAGATTGAAGGTATGATCTGAAAATGAGTAGTGGGAGCTGGTGGGAGTTAATCAGCTACATATAAAAGCGAAAGTACATAACGTCCATTGCGTCACCGTCACCAGACCTATAAATATCTAAGTTCTCTGGCACTGGTAGTGATTTTTAAAATTTTAACGCTAATGACCCACAGATGTCGCGAAAACAAACAAACCAACTAAGAAGTTCGACGTTTGGCAACTTATTTACAAGCACCCAGCTGTATTTCTCCAAATATTTATATTTTTAGAAATTGTGAAAAAAGCATACACCGTAAAATTAAGTGTGATTGTGAAATACAAAGGGGACATCGACTCCACTTTATAACTTGTTAGAGCAATAGAAACGAATTGGACTGCAACGATGGCGACAGGCAAAATATCCTCATCAACCCCTAAAAATTACGAGTACGATTGTACCCGTAAATGTCGTTGGGTTCAGCATGGAAACTGCATTACTGCAGCATTAACCAAACGTTCAATTGGAGATGAACAGCTTGGGGCTTTCATAGCAAAGACCTGCGCCAACTACACCGATATTGTGGATGATCTGGTATTTGTTTTTTGCATTGAGGAATTGTTTATTAATACACAAATATTTACATACACATGCATACGTATGCACGTATTTTATAGGGTCGATCAGCCGTGCATTTGGCTGCCTCAGTGAATCGTTATGCTATATTGGAATGGCTTCTTAACCAGGTACACTCGCTCCTTTATGTATAGTGTTAGGCCTACTTTGTGTTTTTCCAGGGGGCGATTATAAATGGTCGTGATTACGAGTCTGGCTCTAGTGCACTTCATCGTGCCATCTATTATGGCTGCATAGATTGCGCGGTTTTGCTCTTAGGGTATGGTGCTAGTACGGAGTTACTGGATGAGGACACACGTTGTGCTCTGCAGAATATCTGTCGAGCGCGTGATTTTTCCGTTTTTGCAAATGTGTAAGTTGAATTAATAATTAGCTGTGGATGCTACAAAGTCAGATTGAACATGATTAATCATTTGACTGGATTCATTAATTTTTAGTTAATTTTATCACGATGAAAATATGTAAAAATGTATGTGTGTACCTATGTTCAAATGTATTTACAATTATAGGCCCAGTAGCAATGAAATCTTGGGTTGGGGTACGAATAAAAACTACAACTTAGGAACTGGTAATGCTGAACCCACCGATACACCACAATCGATAGACTTTTTTCGAAAAGAACACATATCAATTGAATCTGTAGCGCTAGGGGCCTACCACAGTCTCTTTTTGGATAAAAAGGGATTGCTCTATGCGGTAGGACATGGCGAAGGCGGGCGTTTAGGTACGTGTAATATTACTAGTACGTCCATTGTATTGATAATGTGCATTTGTTTTTTGTAGGAATTGGTGGCGAACACAGTTTAGCTACACCAAAAAAAGTTAAGGTCCCTATAAAAAACGCCGGAGAAAAATTAATATGCATAAGCGCGGCACGTAAACACTCACTATTGCTAACTAATCGTTCCGCAGTTTATGCATGCGGCTTAAATGAAGATAAACAATTAGGTGTTCGTGATGCTGGTGAAAAATTGTCTGTGTTCCGTGAAGTAATAACATTGCGAGATCTAAATGTCGCAGGTCTCATGCGCGTAATTGCGAGAGACTATCACTCAATTGCATATTCTGAACAATGTATTTACATGTGGGGTACAAATCACGGTCAAATGGGTATAGATGGTAGTGAAAAAACGGTTCCTCTACCAAAACAAGTACGTACTTTGTACTTCAATTAAAAACAAAATCTAAAGCATCCACTAAATTATAGTTAAAATTGCCGCCAAGAACAACTATCGATTTCGTCGAAGGAAATAATTCGGCCACTGTCGTTTATACGAAAGATATCAACATCTTATTGTACTTCAATGGCAAAATGCGCTCAATTAAACCACCAAAGTAAGCTAATCTTTCAGCTCTATCAATATCTATTGGTTTTTATTTTCATATGCGTAATACATGCTATTTTTAAAGAATATTCCATATGCGTAATACATACCATTCTTAAAGAATATTAAAACGAATATTTACTTATGTTTTTGTTTTTCATTTAAATATATTTTACAGTTTTGAAGCAGTGAAAAGCATTTCAGTTGTTGGTGGTGACACATCTAAGTCTGGCAAGGGGACTGCTACCGCTTTAAAATTGCTCATGTTAACTCAAACCAATGTAATTTTTCTTTGGTATGAAATGACCCAACAATTTTACAGGTTTGTATTGTCGAGTTGAGTTTGAAGAGCAATGGTAAATCTGCTTGTCTTTGTAGGTGTAGTTTTTCGCATATCCGCATTTCACAAATAGATAGAATATTTTATAAGTCCAATCAAGTCTTCATACTGTCGCAAGGAGATGTCTTTAAAGGCAAATGTCAGCAAGTGCCAGTTCCGACTTATATCACAAAGAGCGAAAATCAAAAACATCCTTCATCCACGGCCAACATTTGGAGTAGTTGTGATCAGAATAGAACAGAAATTTCCAAAGATCACATGATTCGCATAGAACTGCAAAGATTTTCTAGCATAGATAGAGCCGTAGACATATTCTGTGATGACGATTTTACCTCATTCGTTGTACTACAGGAATCATCTGTAAAATATTTTAAACTGCCAAATTTGACACCAGAGGAATATAGTTTTAAAAAACTCTACAATGAAATGGATGAATTTGATGCTGTACATGACGTAGTGTTTCATGTTGACAGTGAGACCTACGCGGCGCACAAGTTCCTTATATATGCGCGAGCACCTGGCTTACGAGACATTATAAAGTCATATGAAGACGAACATATCTACTTAAATCTCAAACGTATGACTGGAAAGATGTTCGAATTAATGCTAAAACATATATACACTAATCAATTTCCAAATGAAGATGGTAAATAAGCTAGATGCATTTGACTTTATTTTATAATTGTTTACATGTAATGTTCGATAATTGTAGATTTGGACAACATTCAGCATAGCTTAGGCCCTGATTGCCCAGCCGAACGTAGCGATGTGTGCCGGCTCTTCCTGGAATTCGTAGAAAAGTTTAAAATACAAAATTTGGCCAGTTTTTTGCAAAGGTTATGTACACAAATTAACATTTTCATTGCATCCATTTATATATAAATTTACAACTTACAGCTTTTTAAAACAGTCTTCATTTTATTTGCCCCAAATTGCTGATAAATCAAAGTTTCGTTTTAATCGTTTATATCATGGCGACTTTCCGGAGCTTTACGATGTGCGCATCATTTCCGAAGGTGATGCCATTATACCAGCACATAAATGTATCCTTGTGGCGCGTCTGGAATACTTCAGTATGATGTTCACCCACACCTGGGCCGAACAGAGCACCATCAATTTAAGCACAATACCGCCAGAGTATATGCGCCCTATTGTGGAGTTTTTATACAGCGCTGATGTAGAACATTTCCGCAAACAAAATTACTCAGAAACCTTTCTGTATAACATGATTGTTTACTGCGATCAATTCTTTATAGAACGTTTGCGTAAAGTTTGTGAAATTTTAATACTGGACAAAATAACTATACGCAAATGTGGAGAAATGTTGTACTTTGCACACATGTACAATTGTGATGTTTTGAAAAACGGTTGCTTACAATTTATTTGCCTGAATTTAGCACGCATTTTAAACTATAAAAGTTTGGATGTGTGTGAACCAGACGCGTTGAAGTGTATAAACGAGGAATATAGGAAAATGTTTAAAGACGTCTTCGACTATCGTATGATAACCCCCGATTCAGATGCTGTGGATGATGAGTTGCTATTAAGCTTTGTGGATGATTTTCGGGTGGATCTAAGCTATCGAATGGATGAAGACGAAGTGAGTTATATATATGATAGTATATTTTTAATGAATAGTAGATCACTTAAAATACTATTAATTATTTAGTTACAATTTGAAGTATTTCATTCAAAGTATTTATGCTTTCTTCCACGATTGATATTTTCAGGAAGCGCTATTGAAGGCAACAGCGAAATTAAAGTTAAAAGAAAACAGAAATAACATGAATGCCAAGCGGCAATATGAGCGAGAAGCGATATCCTCTATGCTGGAGTCAATAAATATAAATGAAAGAAATTCAAAAATTGCTCAGGACGGGCAATCGAAAGTAACGAAGGAAGCCGCAGAGGCTGCGGAAAAACTGCAAGCAGAAGCACGTACTTGGATGAAAGTTGCCGATAAAAAAGAACAAAAGAAACGACTAGCTCTCGATAGTTCGTTTAAAATAAACGAAGTTTTGAATGGCGAAGATAAACCAAAGGTTGAACTTATGCCCTTAACTAAAAAAAATGCTGATAACAATACGCCAATGACGCCGGTTACAAAGTCTACCAAAACCCCTGAAAGATTATCACCCTCGGACGATAGTACAAGGGGATCTGCTAAAGGTTACAGTTTGAATTTAGCTGACTTTACACCTCCTTCGCGAGAGAAACTCTCGCAAAAACAGCGAAAGCGTCTCTCTTCGGAATCAACATGGCGTGCCCCAGCAACAACAGACAGCAAAACTGTTACTGTGCCAACACCACAGCCGAATGCCTGGGGAGTTTTGCCACAAGCTTCGCCGAATGCTTCGTATTCGGTGTCTCCACCCACTGGGAGTAGTGAAGATCCGAGTTCGTTTGCAAATATGATGCGAAGTGGCGTTAATAGTGGTAGTAGTAGCAACGCTACGAATAACACAGACAATAGTTTTTCACGAATTTTGGCCGACGAACGCAAGCAGCGCGACTATTATGAGCGAATGCGTAGTAAGTCGTTGGCATTGACACAAATAGAGGAATTGGCAATAGCTGAGTTACGTGAGTTTTACAATGTTGACAATGTGACTGATGAGGAAATAACCATCGAAAGAAAGATATTGCCTACGACAATGAATTTCGCTGTTTGGCAACGACATTGAAATGATGGTAGAATGTGTTTATGAATGGGTCACTGCAGGCAGATGTATGTAAAAAGTAGGCAGAAAGTAAAAAAAGAAATAACTTGAAGCCTTTGGGCTGAATTGACTTCGGATACCGATTTAATTTTATTAAGAAAAGGTAAGTAATAAGATGACAATTTTTTTTTTTATAATTTATTTATGTATGTATATAAATTTGATTTTGGACCGCAAGTGTTTAATACAATAGTACATATGGTATATGTATGTAGGACGTACATCAATAATAAATAATACAATGCAAAACTATTTAAATTAAATAAATATATATTTTGCATATACATACAAACATAAAAAGTTCTTAAACACACAACAAAATGCCATTATGAGGCACTTAAGACTAATTAAATACTAAGCAGATAATACATTGCTAAACCAAAACCATTGTAGCTGTCAAAATATTAAAGGGAATATTAATATTAAAATTAAAATTATAAACAAACAACAAATACAAAAACATGTACTAAATAAAAGAAACAATAATAAACCAAAAATAACGGGACCTTTGTAAGTTAAAAGCATTCCTTCCGGAAGGCAAACCCATACTGATCGCATTTATAACGTAATGTTTTGCCAAGCTGGGGCGGACCGCAGTAGAAAACCGTAACTTTGCCTTTCTTCTGTGCCAACAGTTGTTTGAATACCTTATCCCAGTTAGGACGGCCTGCATTCGTGCGTGTTTTGAGGCCAGTAATGAGATCTCGCTTGCCCTACAAAACAATCAAGTAACGTCGAAGCTAAAGTAATGAAAAGTATTCACATAAGTATGTATATGTAACAAATACCTTTTCATGCAATAAATCTAAAGCCAACTGCAATCCGACAGCCTTCATATCGGTACGCTGCAGTGCACTTGTTATGTACATATGCATATCGAGAAATCTATATAATAATTTTAATGAAATCGTTATATTCATTTGTATGAAAAATCAAAAATACATACCTCTCCATTGGACCACCCAATTCGGCCTGTTCAATTTCAAGTTGTGATAACAAATTGACAAACCATTCGAATGAACGCTGATCGCGGTTAATCCAGAAGAAATCCACTTTTCGCAAATTCATCACCGTTTTCGGTATATCACTAGCCCACTCAAAATGGCAGCGGGGACAGGTGTGCCGTGCCTTCCAGTAACGATGCATTATCGATTGCAAAATAGAAGCGAACGGTGTGACGCCGATACCAGTGCCGATGAGTACAGCGTGTTGAGCACCAAAAATATGACTCGATGGTGCACCATATGGGCCATCGATGAAAATCTTTGCGAAAGAATTAAAGAAAAGCATTTGGACAATAAATGTTTGAAAATCATATTTCACCAATATTTATAAAGAAGTGTATAATTCCCAAACCTCTAGTACGCCAGCATCTAGTGTAACCTTGCTACCAGAGTTAGTGTTGCCATGTTGTGGAGGAAGACTGCCGTGGCTACCGTGATTTTTGATGGATGTCGAAAGGGAACGCAAGAATGTTGGTCTGCGAAAACGACCAACTTTAGTGCGTGCTGATGGATCCTTTTGGTGAAAATTCGAAACATGATTTTTGCATTTATTTTATCATTTCTAGCCAATTAAAAAATTTAGCAAGTTTTGTGTAGATACATAGTAGATATGTATGTATGTATTTATGAAAAGATGAGTACAATGTGTAATACAAATTAGAAATAGTAATTGTCTTAGTTTGCAAGGTAGTGTCACTTATTGAAAAATATTAGTATTTGCTGAGAGAGTAGAATTAGTAGTTAATAAATATATATGTACATACATATACATAATAGTTCACATAATTATATACCAAATTTTTTTCCTACACTATTAAATAGCTTTCCAAGTAATGTCGGGTTTTTAAAGTTACGATAAATATTTGCAATGCTTTTCAAGTAAATTTTTGTGTAAAAATATGGTTCCTATTGTCCAAAACTATGTATATAAATTGAACTTTCAAACTTTATACAGAATTTTAAAAAAAATTTTCATCAAAATGTTGAACTTTTTAAACTGAATTCAAAGAAAATTTTTGGCTATGCAGTGACATGGCTTCATATAAGAAGTGGAATTTATAAAAGCTGGCTTTAGTTTTTTTTTAATTTTTTTTTGCAAACGGGCTTACCCATTTTATTCCATAAGAAATCCACGTTTATACGAAAAAAGTGCAAACAGCCGCAAAAAAAAACTATATTAAAAATCAAAGCGATTTTTGCCGCTTAAGACTTGCACCTATTTTACTAGAATTTCATGCGCCATGTAACTTGCAAACCTAAAAAAATACTGAAAATCAAAATGAAAAAAATTAAAATTTTGAGGAAAGTTTGTTGAATTTTTTTAAGGTCTGTATAAACCCAGTAGAACTTGGGATCATCGTACGATTGCTCGGTGAGTACTCCCTTGGAGTATACGACTACTCCCCATTACTTCCGATGCTTCTGTGTATAAGCATGTAACTTTGTATAATCCCTTTAACACGGGATGTCCTAGGGGGGTGAGTAATCCCTTTTACCTCCTAAATGAGCAATCAGGGAGTTCATACAGAACTTAACTGCTCGCTTAGAAAATATCCCATTACTCTCCTAAGCGAGCAATATAGGATTAAAAAAAAAAAACCGAAAAATCTCGTTTAATGCTCCTAAATCATGGCTCAGAGAGCATTCTTTACTTGTTCGCTTAGGAGATCTCCTATTTGACTCCTAAGCAAGTAAAAAAGGAGTACAAAACCGACAATTCTATCTTGATGCTCCGAAATCAGGTCAAGGGGAGTACTCTTTTATTTCTCATATAGGGAGATCTCCCTTCAAGTTCTAGTGGGAAGTTTGATAGTAGATTTATGTATATGAATTTCAACCGATTCGCTCTGAATTCAATTTGGCAGGGGTTGAAATTCACTCGGAAGTAAATTGCAGAGCCAGCCGGCTTACAAAACAAAAAAAAGGGGATGACGCCACCTCAAGGCTTGCTCTGGGCTTAGGTAAATTGTTGCTAAAGCTAACCATCAAGGTTGACCTCCATGGCTACCCACAACTCCCGCAACGCACTGGTGCTCCCCAGCAATCAAGGATTCCCACGGCGCTCAGTTGAGCAACACAACTCGGCCTACTTCTCAACTTTCCTTCCGTTTAAGTTGACGACGGATCAACCCGTCTTGTCTTGGTTAAACGCCTTTTAAACATATACATATGTATGTAGTATACCCATTGTCTCACTAACCTCGGAGATCAAAACCGAAGGGCAGTGGGCGATTTTCATGCTCATGGCATTTAAACCTGTAAATACTCGTGTGGCAATAACTTCTGTGGCAACCAACAAGGTTTTGTATAGCAAGGTGTAACAGGAGTTGTTTCTTTTAATCCTTAACATTCCTTACGGAATCGCTTTTTTCCCAAAGCTGGTGCGTGATTAAGGACCAGAAAAATATTTTGGAAAGGTGTATGTTTAGCAACTTGGCGGAGTATATGCTGACGTTAGATATTTTACCGCACAGTAAATAGTGCTGCTGCCGAGAGAAAATTTTCAGAGATGAATCTCATTAAAGATAAATACAGCGACAGACTGAACAGTTGAAAGTTTAGCCAAAGGTCAGAAATTTATACGCCGTCTGTTTTTTTTTTTTTTTTAATTATAAATTTATTGATGGAACGTTTATTTTGAATACTATTTAGAGCAGGCATGCCCAACGCCGGCAGAACTCCATAAGCAATTGCCCTGCGCTGGGCATGCCTAATTTACAGATTAAGCACTCCGTGCCAATGCTTTACAATTACAATGTAAACACAATGTGATTAATTGAACCTGTAATATACATACATATGTATATACTTACATATATACATACATATGTATATATATATGCAAAGTAATGCGTTAATCTGCTCCGAAAATTTCCCTTTTGCTGCGAATATTTCGTTTTTGCTCCGATTTTTCGAATCATTTACTCCCGAGTTGAGTTTCAGTAGTCCGAACTGGGATCGAAATAAATTCCGATCCCGCCCATCCCGAAATTCTATTTATAAGTCCCGAACCCGCCTGACTCGAAGTTTTTCAGAATTGTACCTCGGGTCCTGTGGGTTCCGACATCTATCACTAAGAAATTAAAAAAAAAAGCAATGAAAGATCTGTCATCTTCCGATTATTTTGTTTTGTTTTGCTGTTCGTTTCGTCTCAATAAAACATAACAAAGTGCTTATATCGTACAACACTTTTAAGGAAGATTTTATTAATTTGCGGGTTTTATCGGGATTTCCGATTTTACTTTTTTGACCACCCTAATGTACATAGATGTAAGATGCACATTAAACTGTACCGGAAAAAAAGTTCGTCTTACACCGCTGAGCCTAAAGGGGTCACCTAATTACAGTTTCGCCAAGGGAAGTAATTTGATTATTCCAGTAGAACTATTTAAAAAAATTTAATTGTCGAATGTAGTTATCACCGAATTTTTTTTTTCGAAATTACGACCTTTTTTTCTTTACTTGTGAGGTGGTACGGTCTAATGTACATACATACATATATTAAAGTTTTTTTTTTTTTAATTCTGCCAGCATGTTCTAATCAATGAATTTTTTATGCAATATGATCCGTAAACCAGTTTTAAGAAACTATGGATGCCTATGGAGCCCTTTTTTGTGATAAGAATTTTTAACGCATTTAGAAGATTTCGTCCTTCTTTGAAAACTTATTCCAATTTGACAACAAAAAGGTTAGATATATTTTTTTTTTTTAATTTTAATTCGTACAAATTGAAGAGATTATTTTTAAGGCAATGAATGGTGGGAGAAAAAATTTTTTCGAGATGTGTATCTAGGAAATGTAAATCGGTTAAGAGTTACTAAAATTTTTATAAAAAAAAGTATGAAAAATGTTGATGCATGCTTAAGTTTCTATTATACGTAGAAACAATGGAAAATGGTTTAAATAAAAAAGTGTATGTAGAAAGTCGGCCCAGCTCACTTATCAGAATATACTAATGGACCAACATTTTATGATTAGCTTGAGGGTGCAATAATATCTATATGTACCTTAATTCACAAAGGCCCAAACTGCTATTTTCGCAGATTTTTGTAGGATATATTAAAATACACCTTCACCAAAAATTTTAAAGTGTTAGTACCAAAAACAACGGAGTTATGCCACTTTTTAAAATGCCACTTTTTAAAATACGTATGCATGATTTGATTTTAAAACGCTTTTATTTATAATGTTTTATTTTTCTTCTCCAGTAAAATAAAAAAAAAATTGTTAGTTAGGGCCTTTGTGATTTAAGGTAACGATATGTATTTAGTCTACATCTGTAATAACTTTTTGGAATTTCTCTTTTTTTATTACTTACTTCTAACGGCTTTGATACGGTAGAATCTGTGACGTCAATTGCTGTATCGCCAGGCTTAGCAACTCCATTACCTAAACGAAATTTAAAGATGAACTTAGAGATTTGCGGACTCGCTTATTGCATGTGCATATACTATATACTAAATATACATAGTTTATTTGATGTTATTGAATTTTCAGAAATAAACTCGATATACAAAAATTAAAAGAAAGAAAGGACACTGGAAAAATTCGAAAACCTCGAAACTTTTAATTAAATATTATTAAAGTTTTGCAACTTTTCGAGTTATTCCTTAAATAAAATTGTATACAAATTTACATAAGCGCAGATACTGAACCAGTACTACACTTAATATGAAAATTAACCTTACCTTTTCCCTCTTCAAGTTCTCTATACGTGTCCACATTAGCTGCAATGAAAGAAACATTTTTGATAGGTAAACAAATGTAACCATCTTTTGTAAAATTTATATGCACCTGCTGAATTTGCGGTAAAATCTGGTTCTGATTCTTCCAAGCTTGGTGTTTTAAAAGCAATTATTGTCGGCTTGTTGCGCATGTAACGAAAACTCTGTGCGAGTGATTTGTTTTGTGGACTTAAATAAGCTAGGCCAACACTTTGTAGACGCGCTCGTCTAACACGCGATTCGTCAAAAGAACGTTCCGATTCCGAACGGCCAAGTGCTCGTAAACTGAAAAAGGCGATTTAGATGTTAGATATGTAAATGGCATGCATTTATGTATGCGCATTAGGCAAAAGGGTTTTTTTTTTATAAATTAAATAAACCTTTGAGGAGAGTATGAGGAATGATGAAAAACTGCAGGCAACCGCACATATGTATATTAGGGTGCATCACCTTATATTTAAGCTTAAAAGATCCGCATAAAAATGTTGGAAAATTTTATCGGCGGAATAAAGAGAGAAATTTAGAAACCAAATTTTAATCGCAGTCATAATTCGGTTGACATGAAAATTTCCATAAATAGTAGAACTTTTTTTTATTAAATTTGAACAAAAAACTTAATTGTTGTTGGTTTTTCATCACTTCTCATACTCTTACAGGGACCGAGAACAAATGGTTTGATCGAAACTAAATGTCATTCTCGTGGTTTTGTTCCCAAGAACGCTTCTAAACCAAAACCGAAATGCGAACAAAACTGTCGAGAACGTTCTCAATGGGAATTATATAAGGACAAAACTCTGTGGAATATTCCCAAAGACAACAAATGGCACAGAATACTTTGGGGAGCATTTCTAAGAGAACCAAATAGGAACAAAAGTTTCCGGAACGTTTTGGCCAATAACAAAATGTGAACAAAAGTCTCAGGAACTTTCTCTCAAAGAACCATTTGGCAACTAAAGTCTGACGAACTTTCTGACAGAAAACGAAAGGGGAACAAATCTGCTCTGAACTATGCGCTAAGAAAGAGAGCGTTCCATTAGTTAGAAATGTTTGAATATTAAAATTAACCAAAAAAGAACTGAAAGATACATAACTATGCAAATAAGGCAAAAAAAAAAAAAGACTTAAGATACGAACTTTTCGGGCACAGAAATTGAAAAATTGTTCCATAAGTGGATAAATGATCTGGAAGTTGAAATGATCCAGCTTTCCTTTCGCTTAGAATTAACAATCGTGGTTCTCACTGAAATGATTTATTATCCCAACACGTAGACGCCCCTCTCATTCTGAACGTTAAGTTCTCAAAACTTTTGTTCTCTAGCAGAATGTTCCCCAAATTTTTGTTCTTATTTGATCCTCCTTGAAAACGTTCTCGATACTTTCGTTCTTAATTTGTTCTCATTGGAAACGTTCCCGAAAGTTTCGTTCTCATTCTGTTCTTCTTGAGAACGTTCGCGCCTGTCCTCTCATACTGTTACTCCCAAAATTGAGCGTATGTTAATATTCCCAATGTTTTATATGCTAAAATATTTTTGTTAGTTTTGTTTAAAATATGGAAAAAATTAAGAAAAATCTGCAAAGTTTCAGCAAAATCGCGAACCTTTTTAACACGAATTTCTAAAATTAATTAATTAAAAAAAAAAAATGAATGAATTAAAAAAAAATCTGAAAATTTTTTATATGGAAAAAAATGCGTATTTGCTGAAACTTTGCAGATTTTTCTTAATTTTTGTACACAGTTTGTTTGGAGTTTGCTAAAATATAAGCCATATTTTAATAAAAAATTAACAAAACATTTTTAGCGTGTAAAACATGGCGAATATTAACAAAAAAGAGCCGTGCGCTCAATTTGGAAGGGTAGTTCTGGCTAAGCATTGACCGATTGACACAGAGGTCAGAAGGCCGATACTAAGATACTAATCGAAAGGTCTTTCCATGCTGGGCAGAGTTGACTTAGCCACAGCCATAACGAATTCTGCAGGAGCTGTAGAAATGAAGAATAGCCAAAAACCTTAGGCCACTTGTTGTGCTACAGCCCCACGCTCTGTAAAATAACAATGGAAGTTCATGGGCTCAGACATAGCCGAAGTAGGAATTCGGCAACTTTTAGGCTTCGCAGACTCCACAGGATGGTTTAAGTCTGGGAGCTATCACGATCCGCGTGGTATCACAACGGACCCACAATTTACGAGCCTAGGTATGCTAATGGGGTCACTGGCAACCACTTCAACCTAACCTAACTTAACCTAAGATACTTATATCAGATCTATGTAAGGTTCCACAAAATTATCGATTATGTTAACCATCTTACGCCACCATTGAAAATTAACCGTAACGATGGTGTTAATTCATTTCACGAAACTTACGCTTTGAGACGTTCCTTCTTTTTTGTCTTAACTGCAATATCTGGCAGTGAGATGCTCTTCTCGAGCGGCGGTTTACGCGAATTTAGCTTCTGCAACCGTTTGTCTAATGGCTGCTTCCCCGAATCCGCAAAATCCCTTACGAAACCTTCATTCCAGTGACCATTAGCGCCATTTTTGGTAGGCACATCCTTTCGGGAGAAAGTGCGCTGCAAGGTCTTCTTAATACTGCGTATCCGATCTGTGGATTTCGTTGAAGACGGTTCGTTGTCTTCGTGCACTATCGTGTTTTCAGTGGCCAATTTCGATGGTACTGGTATATGTCGCGCAGGTTTCAAAGGCACATTTTGTAGTTGATTTATGCCCTTATTCAACAACCCGGCTGAATCGTGTCCACTCGGTTTATTTTGCAAGCGTGCAAGATTTTGCGCTAGGAAATCAATTTGTGGCGTTGGCGATGTTTTTCCTTCACTTCTATCAACTCGAAGCACCAGTTCGGTGGGGATGGCATGTCGATTTTGTATTATCTCAACGTTCTGCAATTTTTGTTGCTCTTTTTCGAAATACTGATATAACCGATTAGTCCATTCGCCCACAGTGCGTATGTGCAGCCACATGTAATCCTCCTGTTCTGGTGCCGAACTAATGGTGAAAGGGTGCCACTCATAATTGGCAATAGCTGGTATGTTAACGAAAACATAATCACCAGGACGGAAGTTGAAATTGAATGGACGCTTGATGACCAAATGTATGACTTTTGAAGGCAAAAGTAGACCTGAGCTAATGTACGTTTTTCCATGTTCACTTTTCATCCAAACAAAACGTAATATACGCTCCACTATGTATACCAATCCTGGTACCAAGAACCACTTCCAAAAGTTGGGACCATGAAACAATAGCAAAATCCAAAATGGTATATACAATAGATGAGTCCAATAGAAGACTTCGAAGGAGCCCTTGCGCCTCACAAATGGCAGCGAGCAAATGAACATGATTAGCAGGATGATAAGTAGCGCCAAACCAGTGGGATTGGCACAACCCGGAATAAGACCGAATAGTCCTGGGCGATCGGTTAATAGCCATTCGCCGATTGTATAGTGACCGGCATTGATTTTCGGATCATTCACAACAATAATGGAGAAATTAAAAAGATGCGCTATGGTATGTAGGAGGCTAAGTATTGACACCACGATGCCGGTAAGCTTATGAAGGTAGATGTGGTTATCCAGCGGTAGATACGACGAGAGACCCTGAGAGCGTAGGTATGTTAGAGAATGCCGCAACATTAGCACCAATATCCAAGCACAGTTGAAATTCAAACATTGTCCTGAAAAGAAGTTAAATCATCGCGGTCTTCAATATATATACATATATATGTATGGTTTTAATTAAATAAGTTTTTCTTAAATGTTTCTTTGTAATTACCGCATGCACGTGCAACAATAACAAATCCATTGCTCGCTCGATATTGTATCGCACGTGAAATAAATAGGCACACATTAATGGCGATGTAGATATAGAGATACGAAACGAATGCCTGATTATTTTTCATGTAGGCCAATGTGAGTTGGTGTGGTACCCCTGTACGTGGACATTGTGGGCATGTGGATTTTCGTTTGGGTGCTTCCTGTGTTATCGGCACTAACCAGCGATCTATGCTGCACATATGTATGTATGCGACTTTTAATATAAAATAAAAGGATTTAAAAATGTTTCATCTTACGTTATACTGAGATTCTCTAATAAGCCGCCGTGTTTGCTTATCTGGTTCTTCAATGCTTCATATGTGATTTCACCACGATTATATGGGTCTGCGTCTTCAAACATGGCGGTTGTAAGGTCTTCGATCTATGTGCCAGAATTTTCAATTGAATTATAGATGACAACTGTGAGATTGGAAGTGAGTGCTTACCTGTTCTTCCGAGAATTCCATGCCATTTTCTTCCATGCAGGCGCGTATCACATCGTGCAACTCCTTGTGCTGAATCAAGCCATCACCTTTGGATAGAACAAAAGGAATTAACAAAATGAAGTATTTATTTTTACTGGATTGAGGACCAGAAACAGTAACAAAAATTCAAAATGGTATATAAGTACAATAGATATTAATATATCCTACCAAAATGTGTGAAAAGCGCAGTTTCGAAAAAATTGTTGGTCAGGGCCATTGTGAATTAATGTGACGATATGTATATTAGCTCAGGTTAATTTTATTTTTTTGACTATGCGAATTTAACATAAGATTATTCTACGTGTAATTCTAAACAAATTTGCCGAGGAAACTATGGGCCTAAAATCAAATCGCGAAAATAGGCTTCGAAGAAAATGTGAAAATGTTCACTATTGCGCCTTTTGGTGGAAGAAAAAGATAAGTGCATAAATGGATTCCGCTTAACAAAAAACGCCCTTCAGCATGTTTTTACACAAAAATTTAAGCACTTCTTTACGACACTACAGCAAAATGCTAAGACCCCTACTTTGGCAATTTGGCAAACTTCGGTAAATTTTCGCAGAACTACACGTAGAATTCGTATGTGGTATACGCGCATAGTCGAAAAAATCTCCCATATAAATTGACCCGCCCTAATGTACATACTATCAGATTATTTGTAGGTACATACATATGTACTATAAACACAAATAACGCATACAAACTCACCATCGATGTCGTAAACCTTGAAAAGAAAACGTATTTTATCATCCGCCGACTGGCCGGAGAATTGATGAATGGCATCAATGAATTCTTGCAATGATATCGAGCCAGAATTATCCTTGTCGAATATTTGAAATACACGCTCCGTAAAAAATGGCTGCATTGAGTATAATTCATGTACAACCAACGACCGAACCAGTCATTCACACGGTCCAAGTCAAAACAAAAGAAAAAGAGACAAAAAAGAAAAAAAAAAAGAAAAAAATGCGACAGAAAAAAGTTAAATTGCAGCAACAAAATTAAAACGAGCCAATGGATGTTGTTGCCAATCTCTCACATTTTTCGATGTAACAATTTTCTGAAACTCTTCACGGCGTATTTCCTGCTCATTGCCCACAGTGCTGCGAAAGAGTTGTTCCAGACGCGCCAGCGAGCTCTTATCAAAACCGGTGCGTGGCCTGAGGAATGAAAGTTAAGAAGCATTATGGGAAGTGAATGTGGCATGCAACGTCCGCCATCGCAAACATAGTATGTACTACAAACGTTTATGGGGTAGGCAGACAGACCAATATACATACATAAGTTAGACGGGTGAGTGCCGAATGCATCGAATGCAGGTGAAGAAAACATTTTCGGCTAGTTGAGTTTGCGCAATAAATTATAGATTAATTAAAGATTGCAAGTATTGGACGCTGACTGATTAATGGAGCAGCGCGTCGTGTGCTCACTGCACTCTACGGCAGGGTCGGATGTGTGTACAAGTACCCACCGCGTTCATGTGAGAATATTGCTGGTTATGTTTTATGGTAATGTGAGGTGTAGGTTTCCTATACAAACAACCTCGAATGTTTCTGAGCGCTTTGGCAGCGGACGATCGCACTTTCGATCGTTGCTTACGGACTACTCTGCCGTGTTAATCGATTTGTTTGCAATTTGTAAGCGTTCAGCGCAAATAACGTACTCGTACATTAAATTTAATGGCATCAATACATGTTGCACATTGGCAAATGCTGTGTTAAATATGTATGTATGTATGTAAGTATGCTTTTGCTTGCAATGTGGAAATGGGTCTGTGTCTGCCTGCACCATGGAGCGATCGTGGGATACTTACCGCGTATTGGTCAGGTGTGAAATGAATTCCATTACTTGATTTGTGGATATTAAATTCGTGCCATCGACATCGATCAGGCGATATAATTTATCTAAAATCTGTGTGTGAGAGATGCAAGAAGATTTTATAATTTTGTTTATATTTTTGTTTTTTGTTTTTTTTTTTTGTGTGAACAGATGTGCGTAGTTTATGTGTTATTTAAATAGATATGTATATGTTTGTTTGTGTCTAAACATCGACAAATGCCCGATTTACTTACACCTCGCGCTTGCCAAATTTCCGTAAAGTTTTTTGGGGTAATTTTACTATTTTCGCCACAAATAACATAGGCCACTGATTCAAGCTGTTCGGCGAAATCCATTTGTCTATCATCGCTGTGAATAAGAGTAAAAAAATTGTATTACTGTATGTTTGTATTAAATGTATGTATGTAGGTGTTTGCACGCAGATGAATATTTAAATGTTTACAAGACATTTGCACACAACAACATGCACTTAATTTATTGTTTTTACTCAAATTGTGGTTAGTAAGTTACGTGTTGAACTAAAATAAGAATTCTGTAGGGTAGGCATATACGTGGTTAGTAAAATTAATAAGATTTAATAAAAAAAAAAGACTTCAATTCAAGAGGCCCGACGATGACATTTTACCCGCGGCCCGGCCCTGCTTTAAGATTCGACTGTTAATGCCGCATATATGAAGAAAAAATTTAAAATTACCCCTAGGTGCGACAGAAAATATTTTGTTCTTCGATCGAAATTACACTCAGTGGTGGATTTGAAGAAACACTTAAAAAAAAAAAATGAAAATATGGTAGGCGTAACTAAATTATGCAGAATATTCTACTGAGGACTGCATCGAATAAAATTGTGCGCTATAAAAATAATGATATATTTGGTTTGCAATTATAAGGGCTGGGCGTTCCGAGGCGTTTGCTGTATATATACAGAAGTTCCTTTCGTAGGACCCAGATACAAAAATGAAAAGTTATTAGATCATTTTTTTAGATTTTTGTTGTAAGGGACATTTTTATAATTTAAGCGAATTTTTTTGAAAAATATATTTTTAATGTTTAATTTCTTGTCATTTAAATTTTTTGTGAAATCTTTTTCTAGCAGTTTATAAGGTTTTAGTTTTTTGGTAATACAACGCTACACGATTATCCGCACGGGGCCTACGGTATATGAATTTAAATTTATTTTCCAATTTTTATTTTTATTTTTTTTTTTGATTTTCGCATATTTTTCATGTTGTCCCAAGTTTACTTGACATCTATACTCCATTTTAAACACATAAATTTTTTAGGAAAAACTCTAGCATTTTTTAGGAAAAGTGTTTTTAAACCATTTATTGGTAAAATGTTGCACACGTGCATAGCTAGTTTTTAGAGGTTTTATACATACATGGGGTCCTTTTACTAGTAATGGGACTATCCGAATATTCAGATATCCGGTTAATACATTTTTGTTATCCGGATATCCGGCTGATATCCGTTAATTTTTTTATTAAATATTCGAATATCCGGATATTAAAAAATCCGGCCCTACTTTCTACCCCTGACTGATTTATGAATATACGGTGGGGAAAATGTAAATATGGAAGAGACATTTTAGCAAGTTTTGGCTACTTTTCTTTTTTATATAAGAATATAGTTTTTTTTTAAGAATATAGCTTAATAATAATAACAGATTGGCGCTTACACATATGTTAGTGTTTGGCCGAGCTTCTCCTCGAACGGCGATTGTATTTTAATGAGAAGCTATCTTTCATGGCATAAAGACACCCGGAGGTTTGCCATTGCCTGTCGACGGGCGGGGGGGGGGGGGTAAATCAAAATTTCCAACTTTATAGAACATTTATAAAAATTTTAGGAATTTTAACAAATGTTCTCAAAATTGTAAACTTTTTAATCAGATGTTTTAGAATTTTTTTTTTGAGTATGCAGTTTTCTAGCTCATTAAATTTTAGTACAAGTTTGAAATAAATGGGACTAACTGTTGATTTTTGGTGATTTTTCGTTCGTGCATTTTCCTCCATATAAAGTATGTTCGACAACTTTTTTGCATGGAGAAATTGAGGAACACCTTCCATAAAAAAATTTCCAAAAATAATGGGAAGTAAAAGGTGGTCTAATAAAATGAAATTTTTTAATTAATTTAAAACTCCACTTTTACATACATATAATACTCGAGATGGATTGAATTAGAATTTTATTGACGATTATATGTATGTACTTCTTTTGAATAATAATGACAATAAGCTGATAATACATAGATTTATGCAAATAAAAGCCTGCAAAGACAATTTATCAAAAAGCGACATCAAGGTGTAGCATGTAGCCAGCAGCATGCAGCTTGACACCATATACATATGTACATAAATATGTACATACATAGGTATCCATTGAGTGAGATGAGATGCCTGTGGCGCATGTACTACATGTCACAGGAATTTGTGTTCGCAAAGCGCACAGTATTTAGGTGGAAGCCGTGTTGCACACAGTTTTGTTGCAGCAAGAGCGTGTTGCCGAAAACAGAAGTAGCAAACAACGTATATACTCTGTATGTATGTATGTATGTATGTATGTATGTATGTATGTAAGTAAACATGCATCACAAATACCCTGCAGTCGAATCTTGTACGGCCAAATCAAAGAACTAGTCTTGTACTGCATTTTTATGAATGTAGTACAAAAAAAGCGCTTCATAAGTTGGCTAATTTTTACAAAGCAGAAAACTAAATTCAACAAAGTTCATGTTAACTTACATCTAGATATATACGAATTTTGAAAATACACATGCAAATAAAATAAAAATTAGAGCAAACATGACATTTGGCACACTTTGCGCAGTTGTTTATGTGACAGCGGGCATTAAGCTATAAGTCGGCTATAACTAAGCTGAGAAGTAGTTGGTACAAGTCCCGCCTGCTCCGAAGCGTGTTCAATTTGCTACTGGGTATTTTTGTACGCGGTAGTGCCTTTGGCGTTTAATTGTTTTTGCAACAGCATTTACGTGCTTCTTAAAGTGTGACAACAAACATATGTAAATTAACACAACAACTATTGTACAAGAAATGTGACATTGGAGTAAACTCGTGTATATTTACCAAGGATCTGTGTATGATGTATGCAAAGGACTGCATGAAAAAATTAATTTCCAATTTATTGATCAAATACGAATGAATACAAGAGAATGCCAAAAAAAAAACAAACAAACGGAGAGAAAAATACTTACGTTAAACGGCCCTTGAGGTGTTCAATCCAGCGATCTTGCAACAAATAACCATTTCCGTCCAGATCGAAGAGATGAAAAAGCTTTTGCTGAAATTCCTTTAACGAGAAAAGAAATACAAATAATCATAATTAGTTAATTGTACAAAGAACAGTATAATAAATCTACAGTAGAAGGTGCATTAGAATAAAAATACCATTTTTGAATAAGTAACAAGTAATTTTTAAGCAAAAAACCAAACCGACTTCAATTCTCATATAAAAAAAATTAAGATTGTCGTTAATTTCTTCATGATCCAATGATCGAATTTAAAGAAAATTCGTATGAGACCACCTCAGAGACAGACACTACCAATTCGATAGATAAAGAATTATCGATATCGGCTGACGTGGTCCAAAGTTATGCGGTAACATACACTAAAAAAAAATATTCCGACGAATTGATAACATTTTTTTTGAAGTCGGTTTAAAATCGAGATCGAAATCGAGGCTGGTTGCTGATTAAGCGTTTTTGGCTATTACAGATGTTAATAAAAACCGATTACTTAACATATTTCAGATGACTTCAAAAATCGACTGCTGAGAGGAAGGTCGACCTATCTCGGCAGCTAGTTCGAAAACGCCCTATCTCAAAAAAATTTTCAAGAACGCTTTATTTCAGAATTTTATTGAAAAACATCCTACCTCAGAATTTGGTTGAAGAGCGCCCTATCTCAGAATTCTATTCAAAAACGCCCAATTCCGTTCTTGAAAAGTGTTTTGAGAAAAGGCATTTACAAACTGGCTGCCGAGATAGGTCGATCATCCACTCAGCAGTCGAAATGCTGATCGAATTTTATTTACGGTATCTAGAAAATGAATTCAAGGTTTCCTGCCAATTCTGATGGTCTTCAAGTAGTGCCAGCCCATGTTGAAAGTAAATTGTTGCAAGTATAAGTCAACATACATACTTCAGATGGGCTGCCCTAGTATTATGAAGAGATGAAATATCTACAGTCAGCCCAATCTGATGGTCACATGATATGAAAAATGCCAAAAACGTAATTTCCGTAAGTGCGGGCGCGCGAGCGACAACGTACATACATATATTGTTTATATGCCATGGCATATGAGTTATTTAGCAACATCACTATTTAGTCCGGTTGAAAGCGAAATCTGAAGTCACTGTAATATTTTCTAATTATTCATTTATTTTTACACTTTCAAGGAAAAAATGCATCGCTTACTCAAATGTTTAATTTTATGAACAAGAAAATTGTATTTAATTGGAATTGAATTTGAACTTAGTAGGTTAATGAGGCACTCTAGGGTAAAAGGATCTGAGGAAGAATACAGTACTTAAATTATCTTTTCACCCATGTATCAGACTTTAGAATGAAGTGTTATAAAGAAAAATTTCCCTGAAATTGGTAGGGGGCGTTAAAAGATTTAGGTCCATTATAATGTGAAATGTCTCTGGAGATTGGTGCAGTGGCGCATTAGTCGGAAGCCGTTTTCATCACATCATCGGTCTTTGCAACAACATGCCTATCAGGCGGCAAAATCTGGTTGCCAGAATTAGCAATTCGCCTTGGACATTTTATGCCTTAAACAATACCACTTTCGATTCTGGTAATGCGGATTCCTTCAATGCTCGCGCAGAGGGTGATTAGGATTCAGGCAAAAGGGACTCAATGTGAAACGTGTGGATTTCATACGGGGTGTTCTCAGGGCGGTGTGCTTTCCCCTTGCTTATGTGATTGGTAATTGAGTCCCTGCTGCTCAAATTTAACGGTTCTAATATCTACGTCCAGTCGTATGCACATGATGTGTCCTTCTCTGCAAGTTTTTTTTGCAGGAAAGCGCGTAAATAACACTGAATATGATTAACACTCGGTGTAATGGGAATGTGCCATCCGCTCTTCTTTGAGGGAGGGAGTTGGACAGCTTTGTTCTACCAGCCCTTAAAGGAGTCACTATTCCCATTTTTTCCAAAGTAAAGTAGGTCGGCATCTGTCCTGTATTTGCAAGAGGTGCTCATCCAGCTTTTGTGAAAAGAATTAGCAAAACTATTTTTTGTCCCGTATTCGTCGGCTACAAATATAGTCACCGTACTTATAGGGAAACATGCAGAACCTTTAACTCGTGTCCCTGCGTAGCGTGGGGTATTCACCAAATTGAGCAACAGACCTGACACTCTAACAAAAGAACTGATTAGCTCAAGCACGACTGTTGACTATTATATCTGATCTGAATTTACATTTTCACTTTGATTGGCTGCGGATTTTATTAAAACTATTTGCGCTAAATTGCAGGAGATAAGCAATTTCAAAAGATTATGTCCATAGCCATTTTCCTATTCACTTAGCTAATTGTATGCACATACATATTTCATTGCAAGACAGTTTTGAGAATTGACTTATTCGCTTTCATTAATAATTCAATAGTAAAATTGAAAGTTAGCAATAATTTACAAATAGATACATACATACATATGTATATTCAACTAGCCCTGTAGCATCTTCTTTTAATTATATTTTATTTAAGCATCTCTCATAAAAGCTTTATGAAATTCTTTTGCCAGTTAAGCATATGTGTGTGTATGTAACACTCATATTTGCCATTGCAGTTTGAAAGAATTCTTAGCATTTGCATTTTTATTTACGTAACTACCAACATACTATGTAGTACACTGAGGGAAAAAAATATTAAAATCAAATAGAAACGTAATTGATCTTACTATAAACGTCAACGAAAGTACTGTATATTGGTAAATATTCAATTCAATTACGCGCATATTAAAATGACCGCGTTCGTACTGAAAAAGCATCCGTGAAGTGAATAATCAAGACAAAAATTAAAAAAAAATTTTATTTGCATGTTGCCTGCAGTTGAATTCGAACCCGACCATCTGCGAATATCAACAACTTGTGGCAAGCATCTCTGCGCATTCAGCTACACCCAGCCATATAAATTTGCTTTCAAATGTTGAATATCCATCAACACCACAGCACGCGATTTGTACGGATAAACATGTATGTACTATGTATGTATGTATTTGTTATCACTCACCGCTCTCAGAGCGGCTCTCTGGATGCTTGGGGTGCGTATGCACACTTACATATACATACTCAGATGTGAACAGTCAAATACGTGCGTAATAAATTTTGTATGAAAATATTATTTTTAAATACGAACATTTTTAAACGATAATCAAATATAAAGTATTCATTTTTACTATGCATTATTTCCCTCAGTGTACTTATATGCTAATTACAGCAAAAACATGCATGTTTATTTTTATAACATTTACATATGTATGTCAATACGCAGCGCATAATATTTAATAGCCGAATATAGTAAAAATCGTGAAGGTATTCACTAAGCAATTGATGAAACTATTTTCCGGTTGTGAAACTATAAGTGAGTCTCGTGGACTAACACAAAAGTAGCATACGAACATATTTACATACAGCCGTACTTTAACTTAGGAATGAAGATGCAAGTGCTATATGTATGTATGCCTGTACATAAATAAGTACAATAATATAATAATCTATACTAATTATATAAAGAGAAGTCCCTTTTTTTGTAACAGGTAATCTCGCGAACGGCTGGCCCGATTTTCATGAAATTTTGCATAAAAATAGCTTTCGGTAACCACCATGTTTTAGGCTTTTTTTGGGGTAGGTGGACCAGGGACCGGTCTATTCGAAAAAATCTTATTATAGTCCGATTTTCTTAAAATTTAGTACGTAAGTAGCTTTTTAGCATATATGACCCATTTTTTCTGGGAAGTGGACCAGGGACCGATCTATTTATTTATCGGATTTATGGTCCGATTTGCTTAAAATTCGGTTCGTAGGTAGCTTTTTGCCTGGATAAGCTTATAGATTCCTGTTTTCCAATTTTCATGCAATTTCGAATATAAATAGCTTTAAGTAACGACCATATCAAGGAGCGAATTCGTCACTAGGCAAGATTTTTTTGCGCCAATCAGAAACAACGGATACTGTCAAAATATAATTATAATATATAATATATCTCAACTAATCTATATTTAGAAAGCCGTTTGTTAGTTTTCGCAAGGCTCGAGAGCGGCTGAACCGATTTTTTTGAAACTGCCACCTGCCGCACGTGTCCCAAGGATGGTTTTAGGCTGAAAAAAATCTATATGTAAAGGGGGCGTGGCACTTCCCATACAAACCGAATTTCTCATGCTACATATCTCTGAAAGAGTGCATGGTAGAGTTTTGGAAATTGTGTGACATCTCCCATACAAACCGAATTTTTCATATTGCATATCTCTGGAAATTTTTTGGTAGAGTTCTAGAGTTTTGTATGGAGATGTACGAAATAAATCGCATACTCTTGGAGAAAATTGGCCCAATGGATGTGATTTTCCAATATTATTATGCGTTCAAACCTTTAAGGTATTTCGTCTGAAATAAGTATATGTATATTGCATTTCTGTAGAACAATGATTCGCACCCATTTTGAAATTGCCACCTACTATACTGTAAAGCTTCTAGGACATTCACTATAGAACCGGGTCATTGTTGCCGCCAGGGAGTGAAGAGGAAAAAATTTATTTCGCTTTGCGAATAACCGTGCTATGAAATGCCGCACAACTGGAGAATTTCAAGAACGGATATAACACTTTCCTTAGGTTATTTAAAGCGGCAAATGACCACCAAACCTTAATCTTAGCAGAAAAATGTGCCAATGAAAATCGTAAACGTGAATTGCTGGTGAAAATGTTGGACCAAAAAGTTTCAATAAAATATATACAAATTTTGGGCGGGACGAAGTTCGCCGGGTCTGCTAGTATTTTATAAATTTACCACATAAGAAAGTTTACTAAGTCAATATATGTATGTACATTTATTTACACATACTCATGTGGAAAGTAATAGGGGCAGGACATTTAATGTTTAATGCTTCCTTTTTTATAACAAGTAATTTTTAGCAAAAAAAAAAGGACTTCAATTCTCATATAAAAAAAAAATATATATATATCTCATGATCCCTTGAACGGAACTTAACCTTTGAGACACTACCTTTCCGATGCAAAAAGAATTGTCGAAATCGGTTGACGTGGTCCAAAGTTATGCGGTAACATACATAAAAAAAAAAAATATTCCGTCGTTTTTGGAAGTCGGTTAAAAACACAGCTCATTACCTAACAAAAACCATATAAGTCCAACTTTGTGCAAAAATAAGAAAAAATTAACAAAATTTTACAACAACCCTGCAAAACAAATTTTCCGAAATCTTAACTAAATCTTTAGGAATATCTCATTTCTTTAACGATTTTTTAACGAATCTTTAAAGAAAATTATATGAAGTGGTTGACACGAACTCGTGAAGAATATTCTGTACGAAAAATAAAGAAAATTCAGAAAAAATTTGGCAAGAAATTCTTCACATAGCAGCATTATTTTCATTGTTTCACCGATTTTCTCCCGAAATTTCGTAAAAGAATCAAAGTGTGCACAGTTTATTTCATTTTAGAGTACTTTAAAATTTCTCAACAATTCAGAGTACTCTGAAACAATGGTTTGCAGGGAACCGACTTTTTATTATGAATTCTTAGAAAAATTCTAGGTATGCAGATTTATAGCCTATTAAATTCTAGCTGAAAGAAAGTGAAAGTTTCAAGTGGCTAAGAGATCGCGTTGATTTTTGATAATTTTTTTTTTTTGCTGACGGTGTGACGTATTTTCTTCTATTTACAAATTTTTTCGAGCACACTTTGTATGGAAAAAACTGTCAAAAAAAAAAAAGTGTCTTGTAGCCACTTGAAACTTGCACTTTGTTACACTAAAATTTAATGGGCTATAAAACTGCATACCAAAAATTTTTCTGCAAATATTATTAACTTATGCACTGCAGGTCATTAGGATGGGCACACCCCTTCGTTGACATGTTTTTTAAATTTTTATAAAAGTTTAAAATTTTTATAAAATTTTAACCTCGACGGTGCAATGGATCGAGCCTGGTTGTGATTTAGCTTAAGAGCAACATCATTGAGTTGGAAGTTTGCGGTATAAAGTTGGATTTGTGCGCGAATGCGCCTGTGTCGTCTTCATCTTTATTTGCTTACGCACCGGTAAATGGGTAAAACATTAGGGCTGTTCAGGATCTTGTGCTTATGCTCTAGCATTTGCATATTCGTTGCATTTGTAAATTCACAATAATAAAATGCACACGGTTGCCATGGCAGCAAGCATAAAATTTGCAAATGAAATTCCAACTGCAAATCCCACACCATTTTCACAACATTCTGTACAGCCCTATTGTTGTAATGGTTTTTAGAATATTAACCATTCCTTGTAAAAGAAAAAACTAGTTTGAATTGGAGTTCGAAAGTTGTTTAGAATTCTTAATTTCAGTTATCTTCCTCTATTTATTCTAAAAAAAAAAATATTTATGTGCTTTTTTTAAATGCTTTGCTTGCTAATAGCGTTGCTCTTGTATTGATTATTGACCAAAAATGAAAAATCCATGAAAACCATAAAAAGATGGAGAAACCTGTTTTAGAGTATGCAGCCGCCGATTAACATAACCCGTAAAGATTACCTTATTAACCGGCTTTTTTTGTTGGAATCCCTTTCATTACACACTTTGCGACTTTTGCCATCGCCGTTTTGTGACACATTTCGTTTTGAATATTTGCATTTTTAATTTTGCAGGTATGTACATATGTATGTACATATGTATGTATGTATGAATAATTTGCACGTGGAAAGGTAAATACATACATATGTGTGTGTGTACGTCAAGCTACAAAATATGAATTCGAGCTGACGCAAAATGCATAAAATCCATTTGGAGAAGCTCTAAATTTATGACCCTAAACAGAATGTCTTCAACAAAAAAAAAAAACAAAAAAAAAAAAACAAACAAAAATTTTTTTTCCGCCAACATCAAATCAAAATACAATACTCACCGTCTCCAGCACCGATTTCCGGAATGCCTCGCGCGTATGTTTGCCCTCAGCAAGCAGTGCACTACACTCGGATATGAGTAACCAGCGTAGTTTTTCACGTCTCGCCTCCACTTCCATGGCACTAAAATTCTTATCTAAATTGAGGTTGTAGCGGTCAATGTATCTGGCCACATGCGATTGCTCTTCGCTTATCTCTTGCATTTGTGCCGAGGTAGTTGGTTCCGCGAGATGCACATTGCTGAGGGAGGTGGTAAATGTTGTTTGCTCTGCAGTCACACTGGGCTGTGGCTGTGGCTGTGGTTGTGGCTGTGGTTGTGGCTGTGCGCAATTCGAAGATACCAATGACTGTGATTTGGTTAGTTGATTTTGGTGTGGTTGCTTTTGTTGTTGTTTTGGTTGTGCCATTGATGTTGTTTTCGATTGCTCGACGACGTTGTTGTCTAATTCAAGCACAGCAGGTGATACGTTTGCATTGCTAGTTACTACTTCGGCTATTGTTTTTGTTCTTGTTGAAGTGGTTGTGTTTATGTTCGGCAATTTATGCACTTCTTGCACCTTATCAATTTCATCGCTAATATTTATTTCTTTCGCTGTGGCATTTGGCAGTATTGTACTCGTAGTACCTCTTTCGGCGCGCTTCACTTTCTGTGGTGGCTGCTTTAGATTTATTGGGCCGCTGTTTGTGCTGATTTCGCTGTGGCTCGGTTGCTGTTGTGGCTGCTGGCTACGAGGTTCTTCTGGCGTCTGTTCGCGAGCGCCGTGTAATTTTTCAAGGTATTGCGCCGCCTGCAGCAAGACGTGATTTACGGCCGTTAGCTCCTCCTCGGTAACAGCTGTTGGCGTTGATGATATTTTGCTGTTGTTATGGCTATTGCCATCCGTGCTGTCGCTTGTATGGTTGGTGGTAATGCTCGGCACCTCGGCGGGTGTTTCATTGTACGGCAAGTCATCCGAAAAGGAAACCTTCTTGGGTGACCGCGTAGGCGTGGGCGGCACCTCCAACGATTTGATGGACGACACAGAGCCGCGCGGATAGTCATTGGAAGAGTGATTCTTGAGAGTAGGCTCCATTTTTTTGAGATTGAAAAATTTATTTCGATTTCACTTTTGAAGCATTTATAAGTCAATAGTAGGCGTGCAGTTGGGGTTGAGTTTGCGGGAAAAATGCATAATACTGTAAACTTTACACTGGCATGGAGCTAGTTGGTGAGCTGTAAAAGGAGGGGTTTTTTAGCACTTTCTTTATTGCATACTTTGTTCGAGAACTTAAGCACTTTTTGAGGGTAATTTAAAAATTCACTGTATTATGAATTTTTAGATTAAGTCATTTCATTAGCGATTTAATTCTAGGAAAGTGTTAAAATTATACGCAGCACTTAACGAAACAAATTAAAACACTGATTTTCAATCTTGGTATTTACGCTGTTGGTTTGAAATCACAAACAGATAAAAATTAGTTGTTCCATGCACACATTTCCTTCGAAATTCAATATTATCCTTTGAAATCCAAACAAACATGAGCTCGTCCAATCGACCGTTTTTGATATGGATGAATTTTGGTCAGAACTTTTCTTTTATTATAAAACGAAGTTCTGTCTAAAGAAAAAAAATTAAAAATAATTTTTCGAAAGTCATGCAAAATTCGATATTTCGAGATTTCTGCGATTTTGCAAGTTTATTTTTTGAATTTCTCGTTTAAAAGGCGATATTTAGGACATAAAAAGTATATATACAAAGAAAATTTGAAAAGTAAAAAAAATTACCGGATTTCGAAATTAAAAAAATACCAAAAGCAAAAATTTATACAAAGTTTTGTAATTTTTTTTGTACAATACCTCCAGCTGATCCTAAAAGAACCCGAAATTTTCAAGGTGTTTTTTACTCTACATTTTTGATCTTAAAATTTTTTTTTTGCAATTTTTCGAAATTGCAGTTATAACTTCTACCATTTATAAACTTTTGTTTTTTTCCACAATAATTATCAAAAAAAAAAAAATGGCTTCAAGCTCAATAAAAATTGTTTAATATTATTTATCAAAATTCAATTTTAAAGGGGATATTTTGGACATAAAAATAAAGATACAAAGAAAATTTGAAAAATAAAAAAAAAACATTTAAAGGATTTCGAAATAAAAAAAAAATACCAAAGACAAAACTTATAAAACTTTTTGGCAATTTTTTTTTTAATACAATACCTCCAGCTGATCTTAAAATATTCTGAAATTTTCAAAGTGTTTTTTTAGTATACATTTTTGAACTTAAAAATCTTTGTTTGCTAAACAATTTTTCTGAAATAGCAGTTATAATTTCTACCATTTATAAACTATTGTTGTTTTTTCCACAATAATTTTCAAAAAAAAAGCGGCCTCAAGCTGAATAAAAATTGTTTAATATTGTTTAGTAGGCCAAAAAACAACAAAATAAAACCAATTTTCATTTAATTAAAATCTAGAACTTTAAATAAGTTTTTTAAATTCAAAAATTCATATCTTTAAAAAACAGCTTGAAAATTTCAACATTCTGTATTTGTTTGATTTTGGATTTTTTTAAACGTTGTGCTTTATATAGCCCCAAATATCACCTTTAAAACGAGAGCAGCATAATTTTTGTAACTATAATAATTTCTTAGAAATTCAAAAAATAAACTTGCAAAATCCGGAAAAATGTAAAATTTTGAAATGCAGATTTTTTTTTTACCTTAGGCGGAACTTCATTATATGATAAAAGAAAATTTCTAACCGAAATTCATTCAAATAAAAAAAGGTCAATTCCAACCATTGGTCGATTTGACATGGATTTGCCCATAGGTATTTTAAATTTACTGCCGCATTACTCTCTAGTTACAATTTTCCGCTACTTTGTTTATAATTTCAGTTTGTATTAAATAACTGCATTTCGTAATTGATACTTTAAACAAAGTATTGTTGCATTGGAACAGATTAGCAAAAATCGAACGTGACTTTTTGTGAAAACATGCTTGTTCTGCACACAATAATGGTAAATTATATTGGCGCATATAAATATATAATTTTGCTTTAAAGAATTTCAGTCACATTTTGAATTAAACAACAACAATAAAAAGTAATAATACAAGCACTGCAACATTTTAGCACTACTAATTAAAATGTTGTTATACAAATTGGTACATTATTATTATTTTTTGTTTTTGATTTGTTTTTACCACTTTTTATGTGGGTTGCAATTTATACAATATTTTTTTACTTTTTTCACTTTTGTATCGCAAACGATACGCCCAATTCACTTAACGTATTTTTTGCGCCAATTTTTTAAATTAGTAATTTTATCAAAAATTGATTTTAGCATCACTTTATTAGCGTACAAGGTTTAATGTTTGCATAGCTGCCAACAGAGAAGAAAACAAAATGACAAATTGTATAACTAGTGGGCAGTCAAATCTGATTTGGTGGTGGCCAAATTAAGGTTTATAAATTTGTTTATTTCATTTTAACTGCAATCTTATTTCTGACCACACATTTATTGTTTTGCAATGATTTTCGTTAAATGTTATTAGGTAAAATTTCTTTGATTTGAGTTGCTTATTTTTGAATTAAAACCGACAGTACATCTTTACGGCGGTCACAGTCACAGATAGCTACCGTCTGATACCTGAATACCTTAGCAAGGTGTCAAAAAATGTGGTTCTGCAAAAATTTAACTTTTATTGTGAATTCCGGTAGAATACCCATCCATAAAAAAATGGGTGTGGCAGTTTTAGTACTAAAGTTAACAAAACGCGGATTTTATTGTATACATATTTCGGTAGAATATCCCTCCCCTAACAACATTTGTTCCCAAACTTTTTTTTTAATCGAAGAACCTTCTTGAAATGGCCATGGTAATTTAAGGAGCCAAGTTAAAAAACTTAGATTTTATTGTAGATTTCTCAAGAATATCCATTTACCTACAACGTTTTACGCAGATTTTTTTTTGTAGGAGATGAAAGTCTCATTTTGAAGTTATTGCAAACGCGTATTAATTTTTTCATTAACGTTGTAAAAGCTTAAAAAAATAACCGTTAGAGTAAAGAACTATTATCGAAAATGGACTAGTTATATACGCTTTTGCGCAGTGCCGGAAATTCTTCTTAATAAGTTTTCAGAACCATTCGGTTTTTTAAAGTTCATTTCCTGACTAGTTTGGTATACAAAAGATTAAAAAAAAAACACACATTTTTAGTGGTCGGAAAAACGTTTCGTAAGTTCCAAAAAACTAACTTTTTTTGTTTGTAAATTGTTTTTGCTCCTCATTACCAATAGCCTTTGTTAAATTTTGCCTTATCAGTGTGACTTTGGATTTAGTAAATCCAACATAGACCAGATATTTACCATACTCCAAATATTGAAAATGACCCGCGAGAAGGGGATCGATAACCATCTCTTTGTAAATTTTTGAAGCGGCTCGATTCGAGAAAAATGCTCTGAAGGATGAAAAAGCGTTCAAAGATACTATCGTTCCATTTGTCTGAAGCAAAAATGTTTCAAAGTAGGAAAGGTTTTCTACATTATGGCGACGGAAAATAGTATACCGGCATGTATACCCGTACATTTATCATTTGAATCATTACCCTGACGGAAATTCTCTAGACAAAACCCTGATTTCATCTAGTGCCTGGCTAGACTTCCGTAACTGAGTTTCTGGTATGGAAATAACTTCTACAGATAATCTATTTCGCCGTTTAATAGATTTTCTTAACAATGTTCTCTCCCGTTCTCTCTCAATAGAATCTGGATAAGCTCTAGCATGAAAAAATTAATCAGAGATAATCACTTCTGGCGCTGAACCGATTCTCTCAACAATGATTATCTCTCGTAGTGCCTGGACGGGCACTAGCACGCAATATCTTGGCTTGGGCAACTAGTTCAGGTGCTGGGTAGATTTTCTCCATTACGGTGGCAGCATCAGGACTGTAACTGTACTGCCTCCATAATAATAGTTTCTCTTTCAGATAATCACTCTTGGTGTTGGAAAGATTTCCTTAACTGAGATAGATTTTAACTGTGCATGGAGTGGCTGTATCCTACAAAATTCTACCTTGAGTAACTAATCCTGTTGCTGACAAATTTTTTCTGACAAGGGTTTTCTTGGTACCGCCATGACAATCTCTGGAAAGTGATTAGACGGAAGCTGTCTAGTAGCACTGGACAGTGGATGCTTAGAGCGAGCGTTACCTTCGTATTTAGCGCCTCGCTAGTTTTCCTTGTCGGGCGCTAGACGGATGAAAAGAAAATCTGAATAGCGTCTGTTCGAAATCGAGATTTATTTTCGGTCGGGTATTAAAAGCTCTATTGTAGAGGTGCAAAACTATCGATAGTCAGACCATCGATAGTTGTCGATATTATTTTCAAAACTATCGATATATCATCGATAGTATCGTATTTATATGATTTTCGTATGAAGATTTCCTTAAGAATATATTTCGAAACTACGTTTGGATATTCGTGTAAACTACTGTACACTTTTTTTAATTGTTTAACTGTTCAGTTAGAAGTTAAGTTATTGAAAATTTGAAATGAATTGAAATGGAAAAAAATTGGGCATACTGAAATTTTATATTTGTGGTTTTAGATATCCTCCGTCATATATAATGCATTCATTAAGTAAATTTCAATTTTAGAAAAAGAAACCATTTTTTATCTGAGAAGTAATGGTGTCTATTTACCTTTTCATAAATAGTAAATAGTGGTGGTAGATAATATTGAAAGTTTTGGTATAAATTGATTTGTATCAGTTTTTTAGCGGTATTTTAAAAGATGCAAGGTTTTCCGTCATTTTCGAAATTTGACATTACTCTTTTAAAAAAGTAGCAACCAAATTTTTAGTTCAACTTGGATGTTTAAGAGAAATGAAAAGAAAAGAAGAAATAAAACTAAAATAAATACTGAATCACATGTCTGTCGGACTATCGATAGGACCAAAAAACAATCTATAGTAGGGAAAAATAAAAAACATCGATACTATCGATAGTGCCATCGATAGTTTTGCACCCCTACTCTATTGACCCCTAAATTCGGCTTTTGATACGCAAGGCTTCCCTGAACCGCTTTTTTCCATATTTCAGGGTAACTCGCGCAAAATATTTAAACGTTCTGAAACATCTCGAGCAAAGCAAAAATTATCTATTATCGTTTTTTTTTTTAAATACTAACTAGGGTGTCTATAGGTATTTTCTTGTTAGTCGAATAGCAAAAGTTGTTTAAAAAAATAATCAAATCCACTTAATTGACTAAGGGGAATTCCAACGTGATGGGCGGGAAATTTCAACTTTTTTTTGCTCAAACTTTAAGTAATTTCTATTTAACCATTTAATAAAGTAGAAAACTTAATTGTCTAATTTACACAGAAAAATGACACTTCTCAAGAATGGCGGGTGGGACACCCAAAAAGCGTTTCTTATAAAGTTGATAACTTTTCGCCATGAATCTATTTTTGCAATACCACAGCACTGTTTTAAAGTCCGTGAGTTGCCCTTTCTTTTTTTTTTTTGGAAACGTCAGAGATAATCGCAATAGGGTTACGTTTATAACAGTAAAAATAGTGAAAAATAAATCGACGAAAATCGATTTCTAAGGAGTTATTCTACATGCTTTACTTTTGTCACAGATTTGAACTCAAGCTATGTAATTTATTTTTTGACCTGTGGTGGCGTCTTTGTTGGATTTTTCAACTAGTAGTTTTCTGTCAGTAAACATTGTCTTTTTATGTTTATTTTTTGAATACTTCTTTTAATTATTTATCTTGCAACTAAAATTTTTTTTTTACATAAGGGCGCATCACCAAAAAAATTTATTATATTTTAAGACTTTCGTCAAATGGTGAAAATGTCACCAAATAATTTTATAATTCCGATGGAAAAACTGTAACCATTTTGTATGGAAAGTGTTGCACCCTAATGTACATACCTGTGTTCGTATGGAAAAGTAGCTTATGTCGAAAGGCCGACTTTAGTATAATGCGGTATTCCCTTTATTTTTTAAACGACAAGGAATTTTTTGATGAGACTTAATAGGAATATTGACTTGCTATTATCGGAACTATTTCTTGCACGTTTATTTGCCAGAAGTTGTTTAACGGCTTAGCGTCCGTAAATCATTCGCAATTGTATGCTGCGAATGCCGATTTATACTAAAGCCAGCCTTTCGACATAAGCTATTTTTCCATACGAACACAGATATGTATGTAGGTTGTACATAGAGTAATTTTAATGGCAGTAACCTTTTCAATGTCCGACACATTGTTTTGTTTGCACGTGAGTATTAAAAAAAAATATATTCTTAATATTTATTTTTTCATATTAAATTAAATTTTTTTTTATGTTATCCGATTTGTATTGCCAAAAGTACATTTCATACTTTCTGGAGTACATTTTTGTTTTTTTCTTAAGTACACTGCCGGGCCAAAGTATTGGCACAGCAAATTTTTCACAATATATACAATAATTTTCATTCTAATATTTTTCCGCTAGTTTCGTATAAAAATATGGTTCATTTTACAACAAAAAACATAAAAATATAATTCCTAAACTTTGTACAAAACTCGCCTATTCAGCAAATTTTCATGAAATTTTTCAATTTTTAATCAGGTTTTTTACAATTTTTTTGAGTATGCAGATTTGTAGCCCAATCAATTTTATAAAGTGCAAGTTTTAAGTAGCTAGGAATTATGTTGATTTTTGGCAATTTTTTTTACGCAGTCTCTTCCATACAAAAAATTTTGTTCGAAAATACTTTATATGGAAAAAATGCAAAACACCTCGAACAAAAAAAATTCTCAAAAATCAACGCGATTTTTGACTAATTCCGAATTTCCACTTTCTTTTTTTTTACTAGAATTTAATGGGCTGCAAAACTGCATACTCAAAAAAATTCTAAGAAATCTAATTAAAAAGTTGAAAATTCTGATGAAAATTTACTGAATTTTCGCGAGTTTTGCACAAAAGTTAGGAATTATATTTTTATGTTTTTTGTTGTTCAATGAACCATATTTTTATACAAAATTGGCGGAAAAATATTAGAATAAAAATTGTTGCATATATTGTGAAAAATTTGCTGTGCCAATACTTTGTTTTGGCAGTGTACATTTTTTGCTTTCTTATGTACATTTGACGCGTTCTAAAATCGAAATGAAAAAATACATTTGAAAAATTTTAAGTATTTTTGACGCCTTCTAAAGAATATACATTTGACTATTCTAAAGTCCATATAAATCGAAATGACGACTTTTAAAATCAAATTGATATTTTCGAAAGTACTGTTGTAGATTAAATTATTTTTAAGCATCGCGCAACGAAATATTGAAAAATTTATAAAATAAAAAATTCTGAGATTCCAAAATGAGTTCTCAACTATGTTTCTTGTCACATTTAGGAAATATCTGTACACATGAATTAGCCGCTTTGCGCCCCAAAATTGTATTTCATGGGGATTTCGCAAACATACAAATGTATTTTTGATTAGTAAAATTTTATTAAAGCCGTTTGTATGTATTTTGAAATAACAATTAAACTGTTTCACTGTATATTTTCACTTAATAATTCGTTAAAACAATTTACATAGTTCGCATTCATATTTTTTAATTTTTATTAATTTTTTCACATTCTTCACATTTCATTTCATTTACATAAGTATTTACAAAATTTCTGTAATCACTTATTAACGCCGCCGTCCTTGGGCAGGATGTGAAGGAACAGGTTTCGTGCGCTCTACTTATGTGGCCAAAAAAAAAAAATCATCATCAATACACACGCAAAAGAGTTATATTTTAATTCACATAAAAAGTAAAAAATCGAACAAACGAATTCGCACACGTATTCAGCGCAGTGTGCAGTCGCGTACTGAAAGTGAAAACGAACTCACAATTCCGCAAGCAACAGCACACATAGTACGACCACGCCAATGGTTCCGGCCAGCCAAAGATAAACGCGGCGGGCATTCATAACAATTTCACTCACACTCAACTATGCGTTGTGCTCAATTTGAGTCACATTGGCCACCATGGCACTGAGTTGGAAATGCAGTTCGAATGCAAGTTGCAACTTCTTAAGTTCCACATTGGCGCGCAATGCTACACACAGCTGCCGAACATTTTGGACACTAGCCATAAGCCGATTGAATGGGTGTCACGACTCGACGAAAGCCCCAAAGGAGCCAATCGCTTCTCGTTCCACGATTGGTGCACATCGTTGGCGCATTCGTTTTAACAATCGCGTAGCATTGGCGCGCATGCGCCTTCGCGCTTTTCGGCTCAAATATGTAATATTTATCGAGGCAGGTGAATGGTGTCCAAGTTAATCGCGTTGCCGTGGGGATACCTACTCACATATGCATACATATGTATGTACAAATGAATATTATTTTGCTGGAAATTTACGATGATGCGGTAGTGGGTTGTTTTTGTATTTAAATATTAAAATATTAAATGAATATTCGTACCGATTTATTTTTTGTGTTGGATCCGGCGCTTACTAACGATTGAAACGTACTGAATGTCCGGTTGCTGGTGTGCTGCTTGCTTGCCAGATTGTTTGGAGCAACAAATGCGAGCTGTACAATTGGCTATAACGTATACAAGTAATATATACATACATACATAAGTATGTACGTAGGCAAGCATTGTATATAAAATGTTTTCGAGGTTCTCGTGCGGATTTTTACTTTTTTTGTTTAAATTCTTAGTGTAGGTGATTTGGTGTTTTATACATTTTTAATTTTGTATACATAATTAAATGTTTGCTTTTCGTAAAAGTGATTGCCCGTATGCAAGTTTTAAAGGGTAAAGCCTTTTTAACGTAAGAGCTATGGCAATAGTTTAGTAGAAAATAATATAAAAAAAAAATATATATAAAGAGATTGTGTGAATATTTGCATGTATCTAGAATGAGAAATATTACACGATTCGGTTGGATAATGATAAAGAACAAAAAAAAATTTCCACCTTGCTCTTAGCGTTTCAATACTTGTCTATGAAAAACAAAAAGTTAAAAAACAAAAAAAGGCATTTCTGTGCTACTCTTTTATAATTAAGTACATTTGTACATCTATGACGGAATTATGGATGGGTAGTGGGCGGTTGAAATTCGATTTTTTCCGAATTTCGAACATTGCCCAACCATTCGAATTTATCCAAAATTTGTTTGAAGTGAAATCGAGTTCGGAGATGTTTGCGTTAAATATTTAGCACTAAGTCATAAAATCCGTATCGTTCGTTCGATTTTCAGAAAGGAGGTAGGTGTCAAATGAAAGGTCTTGCCCTGTAGATGTGTAATATGGTTTTAGTTTTGTGCCATATGTAAGAAAATCAAAATCAAAATCAAAATCAAATTATTTAGTAAGTTAGATAAATTACCTCAATATGGGTATCAATCGAAATGGTTTTGAATAAACTTTATTTTTTTAATTACATTTAGAAGCGTTGCCACCAGTTTGAAAAGTCGAGTTTATTTAAAGAAGTGTTGAGCTTAAAATACTATGCAACAATTAAAATATTTTTGAGGTGCTTGAAGAGAGTGGCCACCTGTTTAAAAAAACATTTTCTTTTGTTAACATTTTCTGAAAGTATACCCATACAGTAGTAAAACACTCGATGGATTTGCAAAAGTTAGCTCGTATTTTTATTTTATGGCCTACTTAAGTTTTCATGTCTCGGCCTAAGTAGTTTTCAAAAAAGTCGAAAAGTCGAATGGTTAAAATAAATGTCTGAGCGAAATTAAAGGTTAAGACATATTTGTATAATAAAATTTCATGGGAAATATTTTCGTAGAACATTCTAAGCCATTAGCTCCCGCCTAAAAGGGTAATTTTGACCCTTACTTCAAGAAATCCCGCAAAAAGCAAATTTGGAAGGTCGTTGGAGGATTGATATATTCTAGAAAAATGATTCTTCGGAAAATTTTACTAGGGGTCTTCTCAGGCAAAAGCTTCATGCTACCAATGTAAAAGCCTCCAAAAATTTAAAATAAAAAATTAACAAAAAAAAATGTTTTTATTTTTTTTTTAAATTGAGTTTGGCATAACAGTTGTTTCTTGGCACAGATTTTTTGTTTCGATGCAACATGTATTTTTTACTTGCATCCCTAAGACAAATGGAGTGCCACACACAGTGATGAAAAACTTAGTCAGAAAGAAGAAATTTGAAGAGTTGATGTTTTAGAAATAAAGATGAAATTCGAGTTTTTCTAGAAAAATTCCATTTTATCCGAATTTTAGCAACACAAAGTTCGATTTCAAAAATTCGCCATTTTGAAGCTAAAATTCGATTAAAATTCGATATCGAATCGAATTCGAATATCGAATTTACCCATCCCTAGACGGAATAGGATGCCTTAGCTCCCGACAGACACCGACAGACCAGTTAATAAAAAATGTTTGACTTGAAAAACTCCTTCTGTGGAAGCAACACAAAATTTAAAGATTCGTAGCAATTACTTTTCAAATGTTCCTGAAAGCGTTTTCAAGTAATCAATTAGCGCTACAAAGTATACACCGCTTAAATATGTGCATATGTATATTTATTATACGTACTTTGTAGTAGACTTGTATTTCCAGCAATTAAACATCTGCTGTTCAACAAATTGGTTGTTATGAAAACATTTGTATCAGTTACAAATTCTTTTGGTTAGCATTTTTGTAAATTAAAAATGAATGCGTTTAACGAGTTTCTAATTTTTCTTTGCTTTACCTCGCTTGTTTACTGAGGTGCTTTAACGAGTTGTTTTTATTATTTTATGGCTTCATCGATATAAACATTTCGTTCTCCATACGTTTGACGTACAGTTTATAGTAGTGCACGATGTACATATTTAGCTACATAAGAGGCATTCTTCGTCAATACAAAATTCGTCTTCCAAAATTGGTTCATGTAAAAAAAAATCGTTTATTGCTTTGAAGATTCGATATAAATACTCATTTTTAAATGATGTGTGGCGTTTTGTTAAGTTCAATATGGCGGCCAAATTTTTGAAAAATTATTGGATTCAATTGAAATTTGTTACTCGGTGGTTTTTGGGGTTGTTAACTACGAATATGAAAATGAATTTAAAAAATTCAAAACGGCGGCTCCCATTTGGCGAATTCAATTCAAATTGCATCCACCATTATGATTTTTTAAAATTTGTGGTCAGCTTCATAATCAACGATCCCGAAAACCCACGACTCACAAGTTTTAAGTGAATGCAACAAATTATTTAAAACTTAAAAAAATATGAAGGTTATTGGATTTCACAAAACGCCACTAATCATTTAAAAGTATGTATACATTTTTCAAGAACATAACCATTTTTTTTTTACCTAAATTACCAATTTAGGAGAGCGGGGGGATTTCAGTTGACGAAGAATGCCCCATAAGTAAGAATGTTAATTATATTTGCTTCTTTTTGCTTTGATTTATTATTCACTTAATTTTAGACTCTGGTGGGCTTAGATTAGTTTCAGGTAAAAAAGATTGAACCAATCGCGACTTAAGCTTGTACATGGCTTAATACAAAGTGAAGAATCTTTTAATACTTCGCACTCTGCGGCAGCGCACGAGTATATTTTTTTGTGTTGTCAAGTTCGGAAAAGAAGACCTTTTTTCGAAACAATGTATGCTAGGAATAATCCCACAAAACGATATGCTTTTTTTTAATCTACTTAGTGATATTAATAGTCATATTTTAGCGCTTACACTTTTGCTTAGTTTTGGCTCAAGCTTCTCTTCCAATTTGTGGTGTTGTGCGTGTCTTGATGCTGTTACACAAATGGAGGTTGCTGTTACACAATGGATGGTTTCTCCAACTCAACTTAGCTTAGTGTAGCAAATTTTTTAGACTTAGTCAAGAATAAGCTGTGTAAAAGGTAGGCTAACTTTTGAGTTAAGTCCAAAAAGTAAGTTAATTTGAGTTGGAGAAACCAGACCTTAGAGTTTAAAGCCGCTTGCGAACGGCCAACGGATTTTAGGAGAAGCTTTTTCAACGCAGAAATACCCTCGGAGACCTGCCATTGCCTGCCGAGAGGCGACCGCTCTTAGGAAAAACTTTTTTTATTCAGATGTTACTGGGACCAGGGTTCGAACCCAGGTCCAACGGAGTGGTAATACGCACCTCTAATCACTCAGTCAGAGCGGTCCATTTTGGCGCTACCACTACAAAAAAAAAATAATAATAATTTTGCTACCAGTATTATTACAAAAACGACCAAAAAAAGTTGAAGTTTCATTAATTATGTCTTAGTTTGAATGTACTCCGTTGTCTTCAAAGCCATTATGAACTGAAGAATAAGCTGGGGTTCGATTGCCATTGGGATTAGAGTGGTGTGTGATAACTTTCCGTTGGTCACATCCGATTCAATTTAAATTTTTACTCTGTTCTAATAGAACATTAAAAGTACAAAACAATCTCGTTTGCTTAAACTTCTGATTCTTCTTGTTTGGCGCTGTGACCGCCTAAGTGATTTGGCCGAGTTCAATAAAGCACGGCAGTCGGTCTTTCTATCGCAGAAGAGGCCTTCCTCTCCCTCCGCTATACCCAATTTGAGGGCTGGAGCGTCTGTGTCCATTCGAACGACATTTATTTTAATTTTCTGCACTATATATCATATACCAACACAGGAATGATGAGTGTCTTAAAAAGTGTGGTTTTCGAACGACGAGACCCGAGGACTTTACTTTTTAGTAGCCTACTCAGTCCAAAGTAGCACTTGTTGGCAATAGTGATTCTGGGTCGGATTTAGCGGCTGACATTATCAACGGTGTTAATGCTGGTTTCCAAACAACGAAATCCTCTACGTTTACGAAATCATGACTGTCAACAGAGACGTATGTATGTAGGTGCTCGTAATTTCAGTTCCGACGGTCTTTCAGTAAGTGAGCTTAAGTTATTAATTCCAAACCATGGTTGCCACAATTGGTAACTTTCTACCAAAATTGGTAACTTTTAAGCGGTTTGGTAACTTGGTAACTTTTATTTCATTTTGGTAACTTTTACAACCAAACATCTATTTGCATTACTAGAAAAAAATTAATTATGTTTTGCATGTGCGTTATTTTAAAAACCCTTTGAGTTTCAGTGGCAGCACTACTGACACTTCTACAAAATTACTTCGATAAAATTAGAGTTATCTTATATTCGAATACTGGAAATATTTGAATTACAGTGGCAGCACTACGGGCTACACTTCTAAAGCAAGTAACGATTTTTTGCGATAAATTTTGAATTCTACCATCTCACATTTAATGCTGGAAATACTGTTTGCTACAATAGTACAGTAAAATTATTATACACAATTCGGCCATCTGGCAATTTTTGGTAAAATCGGGCTGTAACAAAAAAAAAAATGTCGAGTACTTTTTACCAGACCCACCTACTGACATGAATTCGACCCAATGAATCCGAATCTGAGGTCCGTTTGACACGTACAGTAAATTATGATAAACCAAAAAAAATAGCAAAAAATGAGCAATTTTCGCAATTCACTCGAAATTGTGTACGCGTCAAACGGACGGCTAAAAGCGCCCGCAACTTTTTTTTTGTGGGGCGGTGCTATTATTCCGTGAGTCGCAGGTTCAAATATCGGCACATTCCGAACGAAAAATGACACTGAAGATGCCACAACGCCGAAACCGGTTTTGTCTCCAAACCAAATTTGGCAAAGGATGACCGAAAATCGTTCTACATTACATAGGAGTATCCCTGTCGGAAACCCCAACAACGAAAATGAGCATATCGGCGCATGCAGTAATTAGTTGATAGAAAAATATTTTCTAATAAAAAAACATTATAATTGTCAATAGGATTTTCAATCTTGATAATTTATTAAGAAAATAGATTTGAACTTCTGTGCTAGAACTGGAAGTTCTTGATAAATAATCAAAAATTGGCAAATTATAAAAATATTG